GCGTTGTAAACAAAATGGTTATCAGCAGTCTAAGAAAAATAAATAACAGTTACAGCCCATTTGGGTTTTTGGATAGGCATATATTGAAACAAAATCCGCTAAATAATCATATCTTACTACTTATATCTTTAGTTTTAAGAGTATATTTTCCCATACGTGTTCACCACTAAAATACACATATAAATCAAATTAGGACTAGAGTAAGGCAGTTATATACCAATTTAGTTCAAATAAAATACCAACAAATTCGATTAAAATAGTTAACAGCTATATGTTCTCTTTTTTTGCTACTAAAATTTAGAATAAACATGGCTAAAGCAAGCTGCAGAACGTACGTCTGCCCCGCGATGAACAGTTGGTTGCCTATCCTATCTTGACAACAGGCGTTTATAGTAAAATCTACGTTACGCGCGGTCTAGTTATAACAAGTCTCTGGTTGATGCACATTATTTAATTTGATAAAGTTATCATAATGCGAATGCACGTATGTTAATAATTTCAAAATGTAAATACATGCAAGCGGTAATATTTTGTACTTTTTAAAGGTATCTCTGCATGTCTGCATGTACCCTAGATTAAATATAAGCCTTATTATGCGCTTCTGTGAAACGAATATTCTTTGCATTTCCGGGCTAGCACCCCAGCACATGATATTGAAATTTAAGTGCGAATACACCCCTGCATAGTACACTTCAATTACGCTATTTTGATCGATTTGATGTTTAATACGAGTTATCAAGTAGAATGCTTTATTTAACTTTGTTCGGATGTGCTCGATGTGAGTATGCCAGGATAGTTCGTTGTCAATTTTACATCCCAAGTAGGTAGCAGTTTGCGAACATTGAATGGTCGTATTTTCTATGAGTATATTGCAGCAGCCTTTTTTTATACGGGACATATTGGTAGTTTTATCTATGTTCGCTTTTAGGTTATTCTTACAACACCAGCTTAAGAATTCTTTTATAACCTGATTGAGTTTTGCGATCACTGAGTCCACATCCTCAGCACTCACAAACACAAGATTTACCTCGAATTATATAAACGAATCCGTACATACTCTTGTTCCGTATTTTATAAATTCAGAATCAGTAAAAATTAAAAAATTAAAAACTGTCGCGTTTATAAAGTCGGTAATTCCATGGAGTTAGGAAATCAAACAAAAGCGCCTGCATTTGCCATGTTTGATCTCAAATTGCCATGGCACCACTGATTTTCTTAAAAGCGCCAGTTTTTAATTATCCAATTTCTTGGATTCAAAGTTCAGGAAATTAAAAGCTATAGTATGCAAATGCATGGATTCGTAATTTTTTTCCCTGCAAAAAACCTAAATAGACTTTCTCTCTAAAATAATTAGAGAAGTGAAATGAAAAAATTTCTATTGCAATTCCTATGGTGCGTTGAACAAGTCACCACCCGGTATAATAATATATTTATTATGGAAAAACAAAAATTATGTTTATTATTCTAATAAAATCTTTCCTTGTCCAACCTCATAATTTTATATGTGGAGGCCAAATTTAGTTTCCGCCCTTGTATAATAACCAAACCCGCTCCATCAATTTTTTAAATGTTTAGAAAAGAGAAAAATGAAGAATTAAAATGTATCCTATTTCATGTAATTTATGATGTTATACAAGTGAGCGCTTATCTTATCTACATAAAGGCCGGCGTTGAAGCCGAGGAAATAAGGTTTGAGTATATGTATTTTATTTTTACAAAAATGACTCCATCTATTACACACTTTTACCACACACAACAGTTTTCTGTGCGTCTACCACATTTTACGACAAATTATTTCGACTGCTGCAAGGTAGACAACACACTAACCGTACTCTATTAGGTGTTGCGTTTATTTCTATAGCATTGCATTGACCGTCTGTAGTATATGTTGTCTGTGATACCATTAACCAACGCTAACTTTCTCTCCTGACTTTCGTTATGAAACCCCCCTGGTATTCGGCATCTGCGCAGAACGATCGAAATCGACAATGTAGCACGATGGAACAGCAGTTCTAGAATTCGTAAACGAACGCACGAGTCATCATGCTTGACGAGTCCGGCCGGCGTAGTAGCGCATACAGCTCTGTTGTTTGTTCTTGTTTGAATTGTGACGTGAATATGTAAAATGAACTTGAAAACGTGTGGGGATAATCACATTTTGGTAAGTAGGTATTTTAAATCAGGTAAGTGGGCATGAATATGAAAACTTGCACTTTTTCCATTCGAGGACATTTTCTGCCACATCTCTCCAGCCTTAACGCTTTTTTCACCGTAAGACAGTGCCACGGACCATCAACGAGACAATGTAGTACCACAGAACAATAATTTTTTTATGTGCAGTATTTCCTTCATTCTAAACAAATGTTGTGAGTGCGCGTTGCAATACTGCACCGACTCGTCAAACATTGATGACTCGTCAAACACGATGACTCGTTAAACACGATGACTCGTCAAACACGATGACTCGTGTTCTCGTTTACAGATTCTAGAACTGCCGATGGAACAGACGGATAAGGAACAGACGCTAGAATTGAAAATGAAGATGGCCGAGCGGCATATATTAAAACAAAATATTAAGAAGCATCCTGAAATTGTGAAATACACATATAAAATAAACCTATATACACTACAAACTACAATGCACAAACATTCGATGCCTTCTTGGGTTCAAAGTTTCTCTTCAGCCATCCGAAAAATGGGAGAATACTGCGCAACAATAATAAATGGAACACTTTTATAAAGTTATAACACAGATTTAAATTTAAATCTGTGTTTATAACTTTAACGAAAAAAGGACGATCATGAAGTCGACAGTCAATTGTTACACTATTGAATACATACAAACTAAAGGTGGGTTCATAGCTCTCCGTTCATCCGTTGCGTTGATCCGTCAAACGGATAGTACATTTTGTTAAGGTTCATAGCAATCCGTCCACATTGTACATTTGCAAGTATAATCATAACGTAAACTTTATTTTGTACTGTACCGTCAGTGATTTTCAGTATGTAAAAATGGTACGAAAGTAAGAACACATTGCTATCTGGCATATTACCGTGAAGAACGAGTAGGCGAACGCTGTTAACGTACCAAACATAACCTCACTCTTGTTAAAAACGGACCAACGGAAACGTAAATGTTCAACTTCAACCAACTTTTCCGTCGTAAACGGACGACGTACGATTTAAAAATTTGCTGTCTTCTGATTGGCTAACGGACAAACGGAAACGTATGAACGGAGAGCTATGAACTTACCTTAAAACTATGTTTAAACATTCAAATTTCACGTGCGTACTAAATTCTATTTTCAATTCTTTTTTGGATGAAATATTCTCTTCAAGGCTGTAATTGGTTGTTCAAATCAACACCAAGCTATTGTGTTCTAAAAACCTTGAGACTGAACGGTTTTTGAACGTGAAAGGTTCCACCCTATATATACAGCTTACGACGATACATACATTTTTGAGAGTTGGCAACCATGCAATTTCTAGGTGGGAAAAAAAGTTGCCTGCGCCACCTAGAAAGCACGAACGAGAGTTACGTTTGGCATCTGGTCTTGAATGGAGGTAGTGAACGTTTCGCTCCATAAATGTTTGTTGTTATTTTGTGTTATTTAATGCAGGTAGTAATTTTTGCATTTCTTTATATCGTATTTGTGTTTTGTATGCCGCATTTTATATTTGTTGTGTGTTTGAATCTCTGTTTTTGAAATTTACTTTGTTTAACCGCAATGCAATCATATGTGTGATACCGTTATGCTATTGTTTTTAATTGTTTACATTTTTGGTGTAATGTTTGCTTAATTTATGTTTATTGATGTTGATTACTTGGTCTTGTCCTTGAAGTTACATTCATATAAGTTTTCATTTTATTTTATACTTATGTGGAAATTGCTGATTCGTTTGATGTATGTACTGACTTGTTGTTTGTTACTAACAATTTTCTCCGTGAATGAAGCAGTCTCGGGAAGGTGGAAAAAGAAACTGTAGTCTATATTTATGTGTTAGGGCACCTAATTCCGTGCACTGTCTTCGACATCCAACTGTAGGTTCGAAACCCCGAAACCAGGGGCGGACTACCCATCTTGCAGGAGCGAGATTACGCTAATCAAAGCTCTTCAGTTTAGAATCTATGTGTGATAAATGAGTGGCGATTCAATAATTTCCACATATTTTGTTTTTAGTCAAATTTGCCTACAAGGCCATGTAGTTTTCCATCTTGCTTTCAACAAAAGGACTTTATTGCACCAAAGATGAGTCACATCCTGTACTTTTAACCCTTTCTCAGAATCTTGGTACCTGCTTCTACCTGACCCATTGTCCCCAAAAACTTGCTTTTAACCTTGAGTGTAACCATCCTTGTGTATATGCATTTACTATCTTTTCACTACTGCTTAAACTTTTACAAAATATTTTGTTAATTAACTTTTGGACTGTTTTAATCAAACTGCAAGGTTTTTCTTACGTCGTACTCTTTTTATCCTTGGCAGTGACTTTTGCGAGAGTACGACTCCTTTTGGCTTTGTTTGTTTTGTTTATATTAATGTACATCAACTAAATCTCCGGGTTTTCACAATCATAATAATTACGATCATTATTAAACAAACTTCTCACAATTTCAGTGTTTTATTTAAAATTCCTTCCCTACTGTGCTTCAGGTCAAAGCGTTGTCTACAACTAACGTAAGGGGGCCCTGCCTTAGATGTTTTATCACGTGCCACTTTTCAAATTTAAGCGGGTACTTGTTTAGTTTTAGAGGGAATAGTCATTCGGGTGGCCATTTTTTAAAACGTTGCCGGGTTTATTTTATTTCCGTGTTCTTGTAGTGTGAAGTTAGCGTAGAACCTGGGGGTTAAGTACACTACAAACGAATTCTTTCAAAATTTTAGCAAACAGGCCTCTTGATCAGATAAATTGAACCAGCCAATTAACCAACTTTCACTTTTACACCACCTTGTATATACATTTTTATTTTATCGAGGGAAGTTAGCATTTTAACAGGTTTGCAGTTAGCTATGTATCTTTGCTGTGTTCGTTGTGAACGTTTTTTTTTAACATCTTCCGTGTATTTATCTTTTCATGTTTGAAATTGGTCCACTTTTCAAAATCCATTAAAAATGAAAGATAAATATTCTTATCAGATGTATAATACTTTACATTAGTAGTGGATGCTTTTTATTGAGGCTGTAAAGCTATTTTCTCCACAAATGGACAACACGGTTGATAATTTTTTTAATGAAATTGACCAAATAGCTCCCCCAAAAGAGTGCAGTAAAGGAGGTTGTGGTATGTAAACTTGGATACCTATCGAAATTGTAATCTGTTTGGTGATCCTACCTTTTGCTCATCCTATACCTTTGAGGTTATCTAGTATTATGTGCCCTTACATTGAAAGTACTATTAACATAAAAGTATGTACGAGTATGCTCTCTAATGGATTACAAGTTCACCATAATTGTATTTAAAGCCACTTTATCTATAACGTCTATCTTAGATTGGCAAGAATGTTTTGATAGTAGCAGTGGTTTTTCTTATTATTGGAATGTTAAAACGGATCAAGTCACCTGGGAGGCTCCTACAGAATTTAAATTGTGGAAACAGGAGAATCCAAACCACAATGCCACAAATCAAAAACCAGCAGTAGCACCTCTATTTCCAAGTACACTTTCAAGTACAAAGATATACAAATTGCAAGACGATGTTACAAATATAACAAATAATCGGCAAGAATCGAGTACCACTGCTAAATCGACTAGAAATGAGTAAGTTATGTTTTAAAGTTTCATACGACAGTTCTAATTTAGTTAGGGTAGCGATTATTAGTATTTATGACTATTTTCCGTTCCCAACATTCTTTCAGCTTGGAAAGATTTATTTGTTTTAGGAATACTGATTTAATTATGTCAAAGAGATCTGTGAATCTGTCACATTAATCTATTTATGCAATTCCTTCTACAGGGTGTAATACTAAGTCGTTACACCTGAAAACGGCAGTTAGAACTCATTAAAAGAAATAATTTGTGTTAGTTCCAATTTTTGATTTGGTGCCCCTGTTCGATGCTATTGGCATTCTTTTGCTTTTTGAAAGATCGTCATTACTCCCTTATTCTAAGGACTATTGAACACAAGTCAAAAAGTAATCGTAAACGATTTACACAAAGCGCATTTCCACTTGCATTCATTTCCTATTTGTAAGATGCAACTTTTGTTAAAATTGTAAAGATCCGGCCGCAATTATGATAGATAGCGTTGCACATGTGCAATCCATTTTTGACATGCTACTTCAATTTCAGTTTATAAGAAGAGTTTCATTACAATGCTTTTCTAAATAAGAAATTTGGAACTGCGCATGCGCAAACCTAAATTTTGCAACTGGCATTAGCTTTTCTTTTATTCCAAGTGCCTATGTATAAAATTTTATCTAAATGCGTCCATAACTAAAAAAGTTGGCACTGCGCATGCGCAAAACCAAATTTTGAAACTGGCGTTAAATTTGCTTTTATTCCAAGTGCCTATGTATCAAATTTCATTCAAATACTTTTATAAGTAAAAAAGTTTGCAATTCGGTTTATAAATGGTCGAGATGCGAAAAGGGCAGTGTGAATTTTGAATCGATTCGATTCAACTTTTGGCATTGCGTATTATATGGTTAAAGCTATGCCCATATTGAATTTCATGCAATTCAGTTCATAACTAACGGAGATGTAAAAGCGATCGAACATTTCTAAACAAAGTTATCGTTCACACGGACAGATAGATGGACAGACAGACAAAGGAACAGACGGACAGACCAACAGGCAGACGACAGACAACAATACAACATTATAAACGATCTCTAGGATCGTTAATAAACGGCAAAAGTGTAAAATTATGGAACATGTAAAAAACGGTTTTTTGTTTTTTTTACAATAACTTTTTTTGTAAGCGGTACAGAAAAAATTCCTTCCTTGGTACAAGACTCGACACCATAACGAACCAAATAGCGAAAAAAGTAGAACAATAGCTCTTAAGATAAAGAACTAGTAGCGTCGCAAAACGAGCGGACGAACGGACGGACGGACAAAGTGGCCACAATTTTTTTTTTTTTTAATTTTTGTGGAAATGCGCTAAAAAGCAAATGTTTTCAAAAGCATCTTTCAGCTCTAAAACATTTGTATTTGCAATTATTTTTTATTTTTTCAAATAACAAAATGGCGATCGATCAAAAATTTCAAAACGAGTCACTTGCAATTTTAGTGTAAGTAATGGGTAGGTCACGAACTTATAAATTAATTTATAAGTTCGTGAGGTAGGTACATCACATTTCTATTTCTAGATATTTCTAAAACATATCTATTTGCAACGCTGTTAAAATGGTGTACCCAGTGGTCGAATTGGAAGGGGGGGGGGTATGTGGGGGTATGGCGTACCACCACTTTTTATAAATAATTAAAACGTACCTCCACATATATCGTGAAACAAAAACGTACCCCGAAGTATATGAAGATTGTTGACCAAACATAAAAATTAAATTTCAGAATTTTTTCCCAAAAAAGAATTCTATCCAGCCACAAAGTATCAAACAGATTATGTTTTGTAGCTGTAAATTAAAGGTATCTATGTAGGTATGTACTACGTGCTTGGTAAATACAACAATTTTCTGCTTCTTAATATTTGTCGGTCTCGTATTTAAAATCGTCACTGTCAGCGGCTTTTGCAAATTTTATTAGCAAATTACGGCGTACATATTTCTTTTAATTTGTAACGAATTGAAAGTTGCTGTCGAATTTTTTTACTGTGATAGTTGTGATACTTTGACGCGTACACAAATTTATTTAACAGTTTAAATCTTAAATGTCAATTTCAAAATAAATAAATATTTTTATATCTCTGTTCGACAATGTTTTGTCCCCCCCCCCCTCAACATTCGTCCGACAACGGGATTGGCACGGATCAGACGTACCCCTGCTTTTTTTTAGCCACTTCGACCACTGGGTGTACCCCTTGTGAAGAGCATGTTTACTGAAAATGCAACAGTGTATTTATATAGTTTTGTTTTTCATGTCTTCATTTGAACACTGCACCATGTCTCAAAATCACTTTGTGGTCATTGTAAATTAAGTTGTTAATTTCTTAGTATTTATTATTTATTTTAGTATTTTGGTTTTCAGTAGAGTAGTATTAATTCCATCCTATGGAGATGGTTCAGACTCCGAAACAGAGGAGAGTAACGAAGAAGTTAAAGCTAATGTGGTAAGTTTTTTCTTGGTTCCTAAATATATATAGGCATTCTACTGGAATTTTCTGATGAGTTGTAATAACTGATAATAAATATCAACTGGTTGAAGTTGTATTTGTGTGTGATGGATAAGTTTTCAAACTGAAAACAAAGTTGTCATTAATGATGATATTAGTGCTTGAGTTCTCGTTAATTGTATTAAATTGAGAATTCGCACGTCTGAAAATGCACAAACACTATGCTATACATAACTTACAGATCAATTGCTTTCAGGTTAAACCTCATCCGTCTCCAAAAAAGTTAAAAGAAAATTCCAAACAGCCCTCCAAAAACAATAGCGAGGATGACGACATTGATTTACTTACAAAATTACAAAAACGTGCTAAAATTCTCAAAGATTTAGGGGGTGAACTTCCTCCCGATGTCAAAAAGATTGTTGAGCAAAACGGTTCTTTTACGAAGAAAGAATCTCAGCATAAAGTTAAAAGTGAAGGGTTTTCATTAGTGGCCGGGTACGGAGAGTCTGATGATGAAGATGAAGCAACCCGCAAAACCTCAGATGCAAGTTCACCACCTGCAACCGAAATCGATTCGGGTTGCAGCACTCTTTTTTCAACCTTAAAACCGATTGACGTTAAACAATTCCTTGAGTCCAAAAAGGAAACTGAAACAGAACCGATAGAAACGAAAGTATTTCATAGAAAACGCAGAATCGGTATAGATTTCAATTTAGACAAATCAAAAACAGATACATCTCCGGCAGAAGGAGAACGACAAGGGCTAGGTTTTAAAAGTGAAACTGACAATAAATCGTCTGCTCAAGATAAGACGAAAATAAACTACCCCGGATTTCAAAGCGGAGGGCTAATTTTTGTTAAATCGGATGTATTAAATCCAGTTAATGAGGTGGAGGAAAGAGAAACTGAGTCGGATGTAAACAAGGCAGAAACTTTAAAGAAGATCGAAGAAACGCATAAAACCTTAAACGAGAAGTTAACTTTCTTAAGTGAAGGTCGTGATCCAGTGTCTCCTGTTCAAATAATTATAATTCAAATGGAGGTAGGTTTTTACTTAAGAACTATTTTCGCATTACAGGGCGATTGCTATTCTTTGTATGTGCTTTTTTCTAAATTTGACTCTAATAGACACGGCGCATTGCTCTACCAGATCGTCCGTTTCCTTTTTAATCATCCTGTATATCACGCAACTTTAAAAATTTCTCAAACCTTTTATGGATCATGTGAATCTTGTCATTCTAATATTTGTTTGTCCGTAAATTTGTCTTTATGATGATTCTGAATTGAGAATACGACCTCCAGACTAGTGATGGGTAATCCATACATTTTTTCGGATCAGTTCCATACTGTTCCAGTTCCCCAACTGTACCTGTTCCGTGGTTCTGAGTCCGGTTCCTAGTGTGACGTCCGAGTCCCGTACCTATAGACTTAAGTGGGAGTACGAGTATGGAATCAGAACCGCATCTCAGGTCATACGCAAACCTGATAGTAGACCTACTCAAGGCTTGTGGAACTGGACTTGGACCTGGAACCACCAGAAAAAATACCTGTAATGTGCATTCACGGGTATGTAAATTTGCTTTGCATTTCGCATATATTTGATTACTCGTCGTTTTGAATTTTTGATTGATAACCGTTGCATGTTGCATTTATTATTATAAATTATACTATAGTCTTAGGGCTTAGAGCGATATTTACATCGGAAGCTGCATTTTATCATTGAATAAAAACACTATAAGAAGCCTAACACTTATGGAAGAAAGCGCGACATATCCCCTTGTACCCGCATTGGTTGGGACCCCGAACTCTCTTTGAGGTAAATAGGGGGAAAGCAAATTTTCATTCTTCTCAGTTCAATCTCTGTCGCGCTTTATTTCCACAGGGTTATGCTTCTTATAGTGTTTTTATTCAATGATTTTATGCAGAAAGCAAGCCGCTTTTTCCAGTAATACTAGGGACCAATATGAATGATTTGGTCCGAGGAAATGCAAATTTTACTCACTGTAATTCAAAATGGCGGACGTTTTCTAAAATGGCGACTGCATAATTTCAAAAATTTGTAGACCCAAAACGGTTGCACCGATTTTAGTGATTGGGGTGTCGATCAATTCGTATTGACACCTGTAATCAAAAGAAAAAAATAATGTTTAAGAAATTAAAGATGGCGTCTAAATATAAAGAAAATTTTTCTAATTAATTTCTTCATTCTAATGAAAATAACTACTAAATATCCTATAATATGTTTACGTATTTTCTCATTTAAATACCTACAAACCAAAAAATAATTCTTGACAATCTGTCCAGTAGTTTTTGCACTATACGAATTATAAGAGAAGTGTGTGGTTTTGAAAGCCGTCACTACACGTGATGTGACGCATCGTACAATCAAAATGAGTGCACTGATTTCAGTAATTTACATCACAGACGATATATTTATCTATATATCTTGGTGTTTATTTCCTGTATTATATGACGTTTGTGAAAAACGCATAATTATAGATGTTAGTTGGGCTCGAGCATAAAGGGTTTCGTACCTTTACACACACAATGGTTTATTTGTTTTAGTCACAATTTACTAGGCCCTGTTACAAAAAGACAACACTGCCGGCCCCCCGTTTCTTTATTTTTAAACGTAAAAAACGCTTATCTCTCACACGCTCGCACTCGCTGGGATTTACTATACCTACATTTTTTAACTTGTAAGACGCTGCCACTATTAAAGCTACACTTAATACCGTCTGCCAGGATATATTTTAAAGCAGTGACAAAAAGAGGAATTTTTTATGTATAATTTTTATACGGTCCTCATGGTTTAGTTCAGGGGTGTTTTTCCCTACATTGGAGGGCGTCTTTCGCTACCAACGCTGCACTTGAAATCGTCTGCCATAGCATATTTGAAAACTATGGAAAAAATGGGATTTCTTGATACAAATCTTTTCCGTGACCCGTATAGTTTGGTAATTTAGTTGATCACCTAAAGAAGTCACCTATTCAGCGCCGCCCCAAGTTAATGCTGCCACTTACGACTGGCAGACGAGTGCTTTTATTATTAGTTTTCAACATACTTTCAGCCTGTATTGTCGAATTTTTTGTCGCTTATGGTTTAGTTACTATGTATAAATGTACGCTGCCTCCCGGTCTACAAGATATAGGTATAGATAAATACATATCGTCTGTGATGTAAATTACTGAAATCAGTGCACTCATTTTGATTGTACGATACGTCACATCACGTGTAGTGACGGCTTTCAAAACCACACACTTCTCTTATAATTCGTATAGTGCAAAAACTACTGGACGGATTGTCAAGAATTATTTTTTGGTTTGTAGGTAATATTGTCAGCTTTTATTTAAATGAGAAAATACGTGAACATATTATAGGATATTTAGTAGTTATTTTCATTAGAATGAAGAAATTAATTAGAAAAATTTTCTTTATATTTAGACGCCATCTTTAATTTCTTAAACATTATTTTTTTCTTTTGATTACAGGTGTCAATACGAATTGATCGACACCCCAATCACTAAAATCGGTGCAACCGTTTTGGGTCTACAAATTTTTGAAATTATGCAGTCGCCATTTTAGAAAACGTCCGCCATTTTGAATTACAGTGAGAAAAATTTTCATTTCCTCGGACGAAATCATTCATATTGGTCCGTAGTATTACTGGGAAAAGTGGCTTGCTTTCTGCATAAAATGCAGTTTCATTTTGCTAAGCCCTATGACTACTAGGGAGAATGCAAAAAATGTAAGTGCTGTAAATTTTCATATAATATGATGCACAAATGATCACAGAGCATATATCTAAATGAAAGAATTTTTTCAAAACAAGCAAGCGTTTTCACAAAATTAGGGAAAGAAGTTTGAATTTCGTGACGCGGTCCAGAAACGTGGATGACGACACAAGCGCGCTTCAAGCCCCACCTACAAATGTATCGCGGTCATATCTGGAACAATGTCATATAACAGCTTCCAATAAATGATCTTCGCAGCAATAGAATACAGTTTTTTCCTTTGGTAATAGATAATCGACGTGTAGCTGAACACCGATGTCTTCCTTTAGGTCCTTATCTTTGGGAACCGTGTTACAAATATTCAACAAGGTGCAATTTGTTCTTTTCATTTGCGATTATATTAATCGAGTGCATTCTCCATTAATACTCGTATAATCGCGAATGAAAAGAACGAATTGCCCCTTGTTGCATGTATTATAAACATTAAAAAATGGCCAATACGGAATACCAAAAAAACTCAGCGGTATAGGCTCCAACATAGAATAAAAAATTAAATTTTATTCAATGGCTCCAATCATGTGCCCTCTAAATAAAATTTTCCGCCCTTATAAAAAACACAGCCGTCTATAATTACAAGCCATGCTGAGAAGTTTGGCAACGTTGTCCAAAAGTCAATCGGTGGGCCTATTTAAGTTTTAATGGCGTTTTGTTGCTCTTGAGAAATTGCATTTTTCCGCTCTCCTGTGTTTCGCCTTGCTGGTTTTAATACCGAAGAAAGGTACTTAGGCAGCTTACACATACACATATATTTTATTTATTTATTTATTTATTTATTTTATTTATTTACAAACATGGATAATAACATTTTTATTTGACTTTAAAATTCGGAATGCTGTAAATTGGTAACTGCATCATAATGTGTTTTCCATCGAAAACTCTGAGGTAAAGCACACACTTGAGCACTTAATTTCGGCAAAAGGACAGTAAATCGCTCTGCATCGGCGACCTTTGAAACTGGTCAGACTTTGTATTATTTTTTTTATTTTTTTTATATTTTTATTTATATTTTATATTATTATATTTTTATATTTGTATTAATATCAATGTATTAATAATATGTAATTGGAAAAGGGGAAGGACTAATTTTAATTATGGGAATTGCTTGCGCTAATTTTTTTGATGAAAAAAGTACGGATGTACCTTATTTTCATCATAACTCACTTACCTTTTATGCTAAAGTAAAACCATTTTTATTTTTTTAAAAACTACGGTTTTGTTCTCCACAGTTATTTTAATAAAATGCATACTTTTCGAGTTTTTCACGAATAACCAATTAAAAAACATTGTTTTCTATGAAAAACTCATACAACCACCCCCAGGGTGATAGCGCCCTTTGGCAGTATATAGATTTTGATCCTTAGGTTATTCCTTTGAAATTTACAATTTTATTGTTTTTATCTCGGTTTTTATACAAAATTTCCAGAGAAATTCGGATGGAAGCAAATAGGAAGAAACGTATAAGAAGACCCGGTAAATTAACAATTTTACGCCATGAATGAAATAAAAATGCATAAATTTCTTTTACATGTTTTATTTACCCACTCGACTTACAAACCGCCACATATGATACCTATTGAGATAACGCGCTGAAGAAATAAATTGACCTTCAAAATAATAATATACAATTAGGTTCTCTGTTGCATTGGATAACTGTAGCAGTGGTTTCTAAAAGAATAATTGTATCTCGGCGACACCTATTACTTATATCAATAGTCAATTTTACTGACGACGTTATTAATGTTATTATATTTGAACTAGCTGTCTATGGGGTCTATGGTAGTAGCTAATACACTAAAGACGTCAAGGTCTAGCAAATTATACAGGGTGTAACAATTAGAATTAGAAATTGGGGGGAAATTCTGATAACAGATTTAGATTCTGCGAATAAAAGTGCCCATAGAAAGCGCTAACGGAAACTGTTCATTTCCTACCGTGTAAGATAGGGAAAATGAAACCAAATTTTGACAGTTTCAGTTTTTGGATGAATTTCTTGATGTGCCAAATACTGCAGTTAAAGTTTGGCTTTGTTATTTTCATGTTCAAAGATATCCAGACACCAAATTTCGTCAAGATCAGAATATTGTTTGGCATTCCTATTTGCAAACTTTCAAAGGTCATTTCGAATAACATAGGTAACGCTAATGTCTCAATTCCTATCCTATTCTTCTTCCTACGTGCAAATTAGCCCATTTATATTTCTGGTAAATTTGTTACTATCGCAAATTAATATTTTCAGACGTTATACGAAGCCATGAAAGCTGGAAGCTTAACAGTTACCTATCTACATAAATGGTTGAAAGAAACCTGCTCGGAATTGGTGAAGTTGGAAAAAGATGCAGCTCCCAATGGTTGGCTCCTACAGTGGGATAGGTATGATATGTTTGATTTAATTCATACTAGATTTATTTAGCATCCTCCACTCGGAAACCAAGATCAAAACATGGGGGAACATGCAAACTGTCATTTATTATTGCTTTCATTATCAGATTTAACTAGATTATTTTTCATTCTGAAGAGATCAAGACTTACTGAACAGGTGAGCTAACTTCTTTTCTTTGATTATTAAATATAGTGTTTTTTGTAAATATTTTAGTAGTCAGGTGCACTAAATAAGAATGGCAGAAGTAAGTTTTGTGTAATGTTCGCTCATTGGGAAATTTCTCTACATTTAAATTGATTTAAATTGCGCGAATGCATATTTCCAGTGGCGATATAGTTTATTAGGTACAATATTCATCAGGAGTAGGTATATGATCGCCGCCACAAATTTAGTAGATATTAGAAAGCCGACCCCACGATTCACTTGCACGGCACGAGGCAAACTCATTTAATTGGTGGATTGTATTTTGACATTCTTTGGTTTAGGTGTTAGCATTGTAAACAATGGTGTTAGTTAGCAATTGTTGATATCGATGAATAATATTGTTTAGTGTTCACCTATCCGCCATTTCAATTTATAGACTAGGTGAAAAATTCAACACTATCAGTGGTACAGTACCCCTCTCACTATTGTTTGATAATATGTACTTCTGTGAATTTTTTAACGTCTTAACTAATACCTACCAAAGAATGTCACAGTATCCCTACTTGATTTTAATGCAAGTGGTACATCAAATGAATCAGTGAGTTCACAAAACGTACTAAAATAGTCCAAAATTTGACATTTTTAGTTAAGATAGCCTATCACTAAGATTCTTTCATCTATTTAATATCATTTTACTTAGTTTACACCAATGTAATTATTTTTCATTTATTTATTTATTTTCATTTAAAGTTTTGATAAAATAATAATGTATAATGCCTTTATAAAGTGCCATCTAGCGTATAGATAAATTTAAATAACGCCGAGACTAGTGTAACCTCTAGTGTATTCCCTTAAGCACAAAAAACGTTACAAAACTACTGTTTATCCTTATTGTTTAGATTTAGGTATCGCCGCCTGCCATTCTTATTTGGCCACTAAGTACTGTGTCTTTTTAAAAGTGATTTATTAGAATACTTTACAAAGGAGTAGCGTTTGAAATGGCACTTCAATACATTACCACAATAGACTCTCCTATTGAAGGCGGGATTTGTATGTGCTTGGTTGTCATGGATTTCTTACAGAACTTCCTGTGCTTTTTTCTCCCCAATATGGCAACTATTGCGATACATTGTAGGAACGCTTCAATGCTTTAGTCATTATATTGAGGAAAAATTTGAAATCACTACAAGTCTTGGTATGGTAATTAGTTGACACCCTTTCGTATTTTTAGATTAAAAGGGTGATTTTTTGGAATTTTGCTTTAGAAAATAAGAAATGATGTAAGGTGTAAGGTAAACTAAGGATGACGATTTACTGTAAAAAATTTAGATGTTGAATATTGGTCAGTACTTCACACACACGCACACCCTCATTTAATGGCAAGAAACTGGTATTTTATTGAATATCTAATTTACAGAATTTAACAAATATTGATCCGCATCCGCAAAATTAAACTACTTTATAAATCTGTGACAACTGTGAACTAAACGATTCCGCCGCCATGTTAGAGAGAATATAACGGGGCAATCTACTGTGGAACGCTATCAATATACATGTACATGGAAGAAATTTTATCCATAACGCTGAATATGTCCTCAAAATAACATTTTTTTGAAGAAGCTTGTTATGGTATCTGAAATTATAAATAGTCTGCTACTTAATCTACATACTTCAAATTTGTGGTCAGTGGTACTTCTGCAAGAGGAATATATATTACTTTTTTCTCGACTTTTTCATTACATTATTAAGGAGTACACTTTTTGGGCTATAGCAGCATAAACTGTGTGAACTTTATGAATATGTAATAAAAAATAGTGGTTAAAAAAATATGCCCCCATTGACCATGCAAAAATACGCCACTGATCACAAATTTAAAGCACATAGATTGGTTGTAAATTTTTTTAAAATTTGAATACCATAAAAACTTCTTTAAAAAAGCCGTTTTGAAGATATATTCAATATTCCAAACAACACTTCCACCCTGTATATCTACAGGGTGATTCCTATAGTACCTGCCACCGTTCGGGAGCGTGTAGGTGGTGCGTAGGGGAGTATTTTGATATAGGACACTTGGGGTCGGAAATCTAAAATAAGGGTGCCAGAGCCAAATTTACCTTCTGGAATTTCGCGCCTGTAGGTAGGCAACCCAACCGGCCGGCGGTACACACGGAGCGATCTCAGGCGGCGATGTGTGGCTGACACTTGATCAGAATTTTGTTTAAACCCACGAAATCCCGTCTGCAACGACGCGTATCAAGTGAATAAACACTATGGCAACGTTTTACTAACACGGAATACGCGGACATGCACTTCATATACGGATTGGCAAATGGTAACGCACGAGCTGCACGACGAGCGTACGCTGAGCGGTATCCAAACCGTCAGTTACCCTGCAGACAGGTCTTTCAAGAAGTTCACTTCCGACTGTGCGAGACAGGGCAATTGCAGGTAAGCGCATTCCGTGTTAGTAAAACGTGCCATAGTGTTTATTCACTTGATACGCGTCGTTGCAGACGGGATTTCGTGGGTTTAAACAAAATTCTGATCAAGTGTCAGCCACACATCGCCCCCTGAGATCGCTCCGTGTGCACCGCCGGCCGGTTGGGTTGCCTACCTACAGGCGCGAAATTCCAGAAGGTAAATTTGGCTCTGGCACCCTTATTTTAGATTTCCGACCCCAAGTGTCCTATATCAAAATACTCCCCTACGCACCACCTACACGCTCCCAAATGGTGGCAGGTACTATAGGAATCACCCTGTATGTAATGGCTTTTGGTGCTTGCCTCCTTCTTATGAAACTTTTAACAAGATAAAAATTGCTATTATACTTATCATTTATCAGTGATACCTGTCATAAATTCGTCTGGTAATAGATATACTCAAAAGATATTTTATATTTCCTTACAAAGGAAGAATTCACCATCACTTACTTTAGGGCACATGGTAGATTGAAGTTGGTTTTTTTGAAATTTTTTGACGTGCAAAGAAATCATATTATTTATTGAGCTTTGGATCAAGTTTTCATTGAACTTTATCTTAATCTTATTATGAATCACTACCTAATTTGGTACAATGGCCCGTATGAATAAAAGTAAGCAAATGCTTATACTTGCAAAATTCAAAGTAAATACTCGTAAGTGCTCCTTCACACTGGGCGACTTAGCAGCGCTGCTGAGCAGCAGGGCAGGACGCAGTGCAGCGCTGCTAAACAGACCAGTATGAAGGGGCAGTTACGAGTATTTACTTTGAATTTTGCAAGTATAAGCATTTGCTTATTTTTATTCATATGGGCCATTGTCTCACATTATTTTAGTGTCGGTGGGTAGTCTAATTAATAAAGGCTTTGTATTAAATTCTTTGTTTGTGTGGGTTACATTTGGAGATATTTTCTATTGATTATAAAACTGTGAGCTAACTTTTTTACATAGAAAATGTGAGGATTTATTTATTTTCGCTTACTTTCTGTAGCACATTTTTAAAAGAATATGTACATATGAATCGTTAGCTTAACTTTACTGTCGTCATCACATTACTCCCCATTTTCATGGGCAAGCCATTCAAGGAATCTTCATGCCAATAGTTGCAGATGACAAATCAGTTCTGGCAACATTTCCAGACTATTTTTCTGACTTCATTATTTGCGGTGATATCAACTGTTTTGTCGTCACAGCATATTCGTCTTCTCTCATCTCCAATGTGTAGGTGTTAGCTTATATAGCCCATAAAATAGAACAAACTATACTGGAAATTAGTAACTATTGTAGGAGGAATCGCATTAATATACAGAGGAATGTGACTTGGATTCTCTCTGTGAAGATCCATATAATTAAAGGTAAATGGAATTTCCCACGCGTTCTACAATTTGGTATTCTTGTGTTATTTCCTTACCCTGAAAGTCAAATGCTTTCTGTTCTACCATATGTCAAAAGTAAATGGTCTTCAGTGGGGAGACATTTCTACTATATACATTCTTTTATGTGACCACGTAAGAAATGACTCTTGGAAATTTTTTGTCAAAACTCCATTTGATTTAAAAGGAACTCTTTATGTACCATTTGGTAGTATTACATATACCATGAAGTGATAGAACAGGGCAATATTTGATTTCTTCGTGTCCTACTATTATGGTACAACTGGCCAATAAAGTTACAAAAAATCTCGCAAAAAATCTTTTATTATATCTTCTTTAAGTGAACTGACAGTGTTCTTAGTAGGTAATCATCTTTAGGTGTGGTGGCAAATGTGTTTTTGTTTTTCATAACCCAAGTACTCCAACAACGAAAATTAAAAATGCTTTAGCACATTTGGGGTTTCTTTTGGCATAGTGTATTTAATTGGTGAAAGTAACATGCCTTTTATGCAGGGCACTCCTTTTTCGTATCTCAGTACTGGGATTTCAATTCAATGAAAGGATATGATGTCGGATAAAGATGTGGAGGGTTTCTTAATTTAAAGTTATGTTATTCTAACGCCTTATTTGGGGTAACTAGTTCTCTTTGTTTACATAAAAACAGTTGTTATGAGGGAAGCTATTTCTTTGTACTGAGGCGCGAAAAGAGGACGCCGAATATTCAGTACCTAATAATGTCACATTCTTTCAAAATTTCTTTGGAATGTCTTCAAGTATTGTCATCTGCTAAACAGTTAAGTAGTCAATTTTAATTTAACTATTTATGTAGAATTAATTTACTTCTTTTCATAACAGTTTTTCTGTGTGTTTAGGTGCAAAACGGATGGAGATGCCTTCGATGCTACGCAAGCAAGATATAACATTTTGCCTATGTTACTTAATAACCTTACTTTTAAATTAAAAATATTTAGTTTCGTAAGGGCAGGTACAGTATTTTAAAACTTTTTGATAGTTGACAGATGACTGGTAAAAGAAAATTAAATTTTTTTAATGATCGTCATCTGTGATCTGAAAATACATGCAAAATTGTTGCATAACCTGGTGGTTGTAACAAATTTTGTATCACTTACAATTAATTATTTACAAATAGCTACTGTAAGGTTCTGTAAATAGATTTCATGGGATGTTGTAGGGTAAACAAGCGTTATTACTATCGCAACCAACAAACAGGTGAGAGTCAGTGGCAATATCCTCAACCGGATATCGTGGGTGGCGATGAAGCAATGGATATTTGTACAACACCTCCCCCAACCTTAACAGATTCTGTAATTAACGAATCGGTGTTACCTGCACCCACAGCGCCCGTTCCTGTACGACCACCACCACCTCCGAGAATTAAAAGCCCCACACCCCCACCACCACCAATTATATCAAAAAATGTTAAGCAACGAAAAAAAGGTTTGATATAAAGCATGTATGGAGCAATTGCAACTAGTCTTAATTTTAGTAAAGTCTCCTAGAGCCGTCGGAGCAGTTCAGGAGTTACCTCCATTACCAAGTGGTGAACCTCTTCCTCCGGGCGTTGATTCACTGCCAGAACCAGCTCATAAAGAGGTGAGTGAAGTCTGACAACATTCATAATTTTGATTACCTACTGTTTTTTTCAGGAAAGTCAAAATAGCAAAAAGGATTCATTAGGTTCTGAGCTTAATTCTTTCTACTCCGATTTGGCTGCTATGGAAACAGTAGTAGGTAATACGGTACCAGAAACACAGTTGGTCGCTGAGACTGTTTTAAGTGATAATATGTCTTCAAATACTGTGCCGAAGAAAAAGAAAAAGTCTAAAGTGAGTTGCCTTGATTTTGAACTCAGTATTTATCTTTTGTCTTATCTCTTCAGGTCAAATTAGTCGAAGGTTTAGCAATGAAAAAGAAAGGAGTATCCAAGCTTGTTGAAAGATGGAAAAATGTTCAAAAGGATTATAATTAAAATATCTGGGAGAAATTTGACTTAACATACTTAAATTATTTTTATTATGGAAATACGTGATAATGTGCTTGTATATTAGGTTTGCATAAAGCTATTGTGATTTTTCTAGAAGTGATTTTTATGCAACAACAATTTTGATTACTAATTTAGATGATTATATAAAATATTCCGCTACTATATCAACATTGACCAATCGTCCCTTGTAAATTTATTATTCACAGAAATTCAAAAACTAAGAGTAGTATCCTTTTTCTGTACAAAACCTCCATTTTTAATAACTAATAAAATAACATCCTTTATTGTTTTGTTTTAATCATTTTGTGTTAGTCCATGACAAGGAGCACCAAAGAATTGTTTGACAAAAAGTATTGTCATTGCTTGGTTTTCAGTTGTGTTGTGTAAACAAAATTCCTATTTTTGAAATGTTCATTCTTTTTCTTTATCTTGTATTATCAATTGTTTGAAGTTTGGTGTGTGTATGGACAATTTTCGCCTTGAAGAGACAGTGCTGTGGATGGTAAGTAACGGCACGATAGCTAACTAAATGCTCTTTCTCAAATGCAGCCTTATTTCTAGACTGATGAACGGGTAGCCTGTTATTAGGGTTATATACTGTAAATTATTTCACTTGGGCGTCGAGCTAAAAGTACTACGTTATTTTTCTCCAATACGAAATGGTACCATGATAGTCCTACAAAGAAGGTTTCTACGTAATTCCTTAAAGCGAGCCGTAACGCAAAGTGAATTAAGGTTTTCGCCCTAAAGCGAGTAACTTCAGCGCATTTTCCATGAATTGATCAGTACTTCCCAAAAGCCCATTGCTATGTGCGCTACGTTTTTCTTTACTAGAGGCATATATTGTTAAAATAGCAAAGAAATATCTCCATACATACATACAGTTCGCTCATAGGCACTTTTAATTTATGCTTTAGGCACAGTATATCGGGGATATACTGTGCTTTAGGTATGCGATGTTTGTTTTGTTAATAGCGTCTATGGTTAAACTTTAGAGAGAGATCTTCATAAGTAAAAAGTTGGCATTTTGCAATCTGCGCATGCGCGGAGTTGATTTTTACTGTGTGCGATGTATTTGTATTAGTTTGATTTTTACTTCATGTAATAATATGTTCGTCTTCACTAGAAGCATCTGTGATTAAAATTTCAAGAAGATATCTCGATAAATCCCCATGCGCACATTAATCTGATGTTTACAATATGCGCTACCGAATGCAAAAAGAACGAACTAAATATCTTTGCAATAGCGCACCCAATTTCGTTGGAAAATGCGCTAAAAATAACATATTTCCCGGTCAAAATTTTGGAAGACATTTTTATCGTCCTTTGTAATGATAAAAAGAACCGATTGGCGAAAAAAACTTCCCTAGGAATTTTTTCGATTGACGCTTGGACGATACATTACTCTGTTGTGGTAAGCTATGCCTATTGTAGAAAGATCGCCACAGCGCAAGCGCCCCAGTCACGAACTTATAAATTAAAATGGACTGCTAATGCTGAATTGACAAATGACACATACATGGGGGCAGCCGTGATTGGCACTCACTTGGGGCGAAATTCAAATCAACTAATAAACAAGCATTAAACCAACATTAACCTCACGTTTTCTAAATAAATTACTGCGACACATGTCATTTTCCAAGGCTGCAATAATCTCAAAACTTGAGCACTAGGAAAATTCACATCATGGCCGCGCCCATGCTAGGGACATTTCTACCTCTATGCAACTGTTTGATCAGCAGTCCATCTTAATTTATAAGTTTGTGGTCCCACTATACCGCGTTACAGTATACGCGCCGAAACGAGATGACATGAAAATATTTAACTGCGCCTGCTACGAAGATGCTACAGTCTTTTCAAATGTTCACTTCACGCATCGATTAAGTACTTTTTGCACACATTTTAACACTACTTTTAAACTGGTACTCACGATTCTGAGTGATTTTCGACGTTTTTAGTTGCGTCTGCCCCAAAATTAAGTCAAAAATGCTACCAATTTGCGAAATAGTTATATGAGGGGGAGGGTATCCAAAGATGGGTATCTAATATGACGTTCCTTTGGCATACGCAGTGTATGGAACGGCGTGGACCACAAAAAAATGTAAGAAGCGTTAACGCACCAATTCGTGCTCTCGAGACGGCGCATACAGCTTTCCCAGCGAACATAACTGTTTATTCCTTTGTCATATAAAAATTGAACGAATAAATAATCTTGAGACGTCTTTAAAAGAAATGCGCTTTTGTAAAAGAACTATGCGATCAAAAATGAGTTGTTGTCGAGTCACCTTCGGAATTTTGTTTGCATCGGAAATCGTACTTAACTTGAACTTCCAAAGGCGACTCGACAGCAACTCATTTTTGATCGCCCCTTAAAGGCCCCATTCACATGCGGATATGTACGGCGGATCTGTACGGCGGACATGTACGCGGGACAGATCCGTATCAATTCGTATGTGTGTATCCGCGTGTTCGGCGTACATATCTTGCTCGCCATCCGTCGATCAGGATGGCGAGCCGGACAAATACGCACGTGTGTAGTCGTTTCACGGATTTGTTTGCCGGACATAGAATCATCAAATATATTGATCTATTCAATGTTTCTCTAAATGTACTCAAACAAAAGTTAAAATTACATCTCACATATAATGATATGGATTTTTATCAGAAACGTTAACGATAGCACTTTTGGAATGATAATGTAGCATGTTTGTTTATTAAGAGTATGTTATAGGTATAAACGGTAATGTATATTATTATTGTGAGGTATTATATTAATTTAATTTAATTAATTTTGTATATCATGTTTTTTTATGTGTAATGTACACTTTAAACTTGTTATATTGTTATAGGTAATTTATTATTGTTGTTCTTTTTTGGGGTTTCCCTGTAAATAAATATTATTATTATTATTATTAAATAAATACGAAATTCTTGAAAATATGTTAGGAAATTTAAGAAATCAAAATGGAAATGCGACTCAACCTACTCCAATTAAACAGTCATTTAAAAAAATATTTTGTTTAAATTACTTTGAATATAATGCAGGCGCAAATTGTGCTAAAGATTTAAATGATCTTTTGGGTAATTTTACAAGCAAAATTGCGGAACAACACCGAACTCATGGTGAAACTGGAACCATTTTATGCCATTTCCGAGCATATTCTGCTAAGGCAGGTGGCTTATTTGAAAGTTTCAGGTATAATTTTCCCAAGAAACTGTGGGGAGATTGCACAACTGAATTTTAGGTCTTCAAAATTCCTTCAAGTTGCTAAGTACTGTAGCGTGGCAATTAATCACTGTTTTGACCACAGTCTCTTCTGTTTCCTACCTTCAAATAAAACTATATATCCTGCAATTATTGTCAGTTTTTTCTTATGATCCATAGCAATTACCACAGCACTCAAAACCACACCCCAGGGGCTAGCACTACAGAACTGAAATAGTGAGAGAACGCCGCCTGCTCGTCTATTGAGATTGGTCCGTGATTTGTGTACAGACATATCCGCCCTCGTATCCGCCTGTGTGTAGCTCAAGGCGGATCTGTCCGGCGTACAGATCCGCCGTACATATCCTCATGTGAATGGGGCCCTTTAGTAGTCATTAACAAAATACTGGTACACTAACCCTTTGTAGCTTAAATAAACTTTAGGCTATGTATTGTTTCGCCGAAAAAAACCCAACTGGTAGGTATTATAGCACGGACATGTCATGTCGATTTTCTGAAGGAACCTCTTCTGACAGGAGTTCACGATATGGGAATTTGAAGTTTACGGGGCTCCCCTCTTTAAAAGCTTTGTACCTACACCCACTGGAGTAGCGACCATATGTTTACAGTCTGCTATTCCGAATCGCACCCGGAAGTGGTTGATAAAACTTTGCTGATGCACAGCGACTTTACCGCCCTTTTGCTGAAATTAAGTGCCCAAACGTGTGCCTCACCTCGACCTCTTTCGAGAAGTTCACGGTTCACCAATTTCAGAGATCTCGATAGAAAATGCATATTATGATGCAGTTACCAATTTACAGCGTTCCGAATTTTAAAGTCAAATAATAGCTATTTATATATCAAGTACCTACATAAACTTGGTCTTTATGGACGAGCCGTTTATTTAGCCGAGCAAGCTTGCGAGCGAGGCACAAATAATCAAGGCGAGTCCCATAAAGCCTATATTTATGGTCGCGATATATACAAAGCTTTATGTACGACTGTAACAACCCTTAAAAATGAAATTTCATGGAATTCAATAAACGATAAAATTTATATATCATTGACAACAGATGTCAAGCATTTGTCGAGTATTTCTAAAATACTTGAATTTCCCTTGGATTGACACAAGTACGACTGTCATATTGACAGGCGGCCGTTTTTACTTTATCATTATGGACTAGGCCATAATATTGCAAATTATGCCCACACTAATTGCGACTGTAATCACCGCATTATCAAGCAGTCCTACATAAAAATGTTATTGGCCCGTATGAATAAAAGGGAGCAAATGCTCATACTTGCAAAATTCAAAGTAAATACCACAGAGTTGTATATAAGTAAATAGAGAGACAGTCTTATAGCGAAAAATTGACTCCAATTGAACCTTGCGCAGGCCGTTGGTGAGTGTGCGCAGTAAACGACAACAGAACCGGCTTCAAATTAAATGATCCTTAAAGCAGGTTCGGCTTGAGAATAATATGGTTTTTCATTGCAACAAAAATTGAAAAGAAATTCAATGTGTGGTGAATGATATTGTTAACACTGTCTTGAATAAATAAGAAACATTACAGTCGTTAAGAACTTTTAATACAGTAGACTACAATACAAAGCTGGTAAGGGGCTTACAACATCAGAATCGAGAAAAGATTTTTTGAGATTCTGGTATAAAGGAAATCGTATATTTGTCGTGCGATCGAGTTTAAAGATCTATTTATGCACTCAGTGAGTATAAAAATAAGCAATGAAAGAATAAAATAAGTTGAAATTTTATTTTGGTGCGGGACAAAATTTCAGGTGTGCAATGCCGAAAACACAGTTTGAATACGGGTAGCCACAAAGTCGACAAACTTCAAATGCCAATAACTCAAATATCTCAAAAATGGAGCATCGGCAGAGGGTATGTACAGTGGCACCACGCTCAGAAGGTTCCTGACAGGGCGTGTCCGAGGACGTTGGATATTTAGACTGTACATTCTCATGCAAAATTTGACTCTACTAAATATAAATAAGTGGGCCACGCGATATGAGTTGCATTACTTCAAGGGGAAACAGTAAAATTAATAAATTTCTACAAAACGTAAACACATTTAAGATTGTTAGATGTTCATGTTCAACACAATTTACAATTCTGATGCACTTCTGCTGTGTAAATATGGACAGTTATTGAAACAATCACATTGAAATTAATAACACTCACATTGACTAAATTAACACACAATCTTTAACTTTTTTCATTCATTATCGTCACTTGACCACTAATCATCATCGGAACTGCCGGTGTTCACAATAAATTGTACATTGTCAATAAATTCATTTCTCGTAGGAATGATATTTGCTTCTAACCAAGAACGTATCACTTCCTTATGATTATTCATTGTTGGTGGCTTATTTATTTGAACACTAATAAGGTACGTGAGTTTGCTGGTAAATTTGGTATAAGCTGCTTCTCTAACCACTGCATAAAGTTGGTATGATTCATATCATCGTAATAATCCCCCGATTTACTGTGCGACATCCTCTACAAAACCAGAACGACTACCAGCATACTACGATGTACCTCTGACCAGCCCTATTATAAACTTCCGATACTTCATCTGATTGTTAGCAATTACTCACTCCGTACGATGGGTGAATATAGGTTTCGTCCAAGTATATAACGGGTTTCTTGTCACATTCAGGTTGTTCATTTTCTTTTAATCTTCTTAAATCGTAATAATCGAGTGCGACATGAACGACTATACTACGATGGACCAGCCCTATTATAAACTTCCGATACTTCATCTGATTGTTAGCACTCACTCCGTACGATGGGTGAATATAGGTTTCGTCCAAGTATATAACGGGTTTCTTGTCACATTCAGGTTGTTCATTTTCTTTTAATCTTCTTAAATAACGAGATGCCATACTCGAGGCCATACTACAATGTCACTTCTTTCCATTACCAACCTACGTTTGTCCCGACACTTCTTGTATCGAAAACCAATTTCAACAATTGCTTGCGAAGAGTTTTCCTTCCACCCATATATTTGATCTTTTCTTGCACTTTTCCAGGAGCATTTTAAAATATCCTTTATTTATGTACAGATCGTCGCCTACTAAACATTGAAATGGCGGTAAAGAGTATAATGTAATGGGCATGCTTAAATTATTGCTCCAAAGCGTTTGTTTATTTACAAATGAATCTGAAGCATCTGAAAAGTTATTGCTGTTTTGTTTTGTGATTATGTAACTGAATGCACCCAAAAATCGTGCTGATTCCCTTTCACGCACTGCGCATGAGTCCCAACGGCTCCGCCATTAAAAGTCGGCCACTGTAGTTGGAGTTATTTTTCCACGCGCAGGTCGTATGTACTGCCTCTCTATTTACTTATATACAACTCTGTGGTAAATACTCGTAAGTGCCCCTTCACACTGGTTTATTTAGCAGCACTGCGCTGCGCCTGTCCTGCTGCTTAGCAGCGCTGCTAATCGCCCAGTGTGAAGGAGAAGGAGCACTTACAAGTATTTACTTTGAATTTTCCAAGTATTAGCATATGCTCCCTTTTATTCATATGGGCCATTATCTTTTTTGTAAATAAATAAAATATATGTACAATTGTAAGCTGCCTAAGTATCTTTCTTCTGTATTAAAACCACCAAGGCGAAACACAGGAGAGAGGAAAAATGCCATTTTTCAAGAGCAACAAGACGCCATTAAAACTTTAATCGGCCCACCGAGATCGATTGACTTTCGAACAACGTTGCCAAACTTCTCAGAATGGCTGTAATTATAGATGGCTGTGGTTTGGTGAGCGCCTTATATCTATGGTTACATGCGTCAAAATATATCGCCATCTCTGGGCGAAATATAATATTTGAGTAGTTCTACTTGATAAATTTGACGTTACAGAGTCCTACAAACGTTCTCTCACAGAACGTTCCACGGAAGTGATCCGTCATCTTTCCTAGTAATTTTCGGGTAGAAGCGGTTTTATGAGTAATTGCAATTTGAACTTGTGATAGTTTTTGAAGTTTAACATTCGCGTCTTATCGTTCGCGGTGCGTTTTTTGAAAATCTCGAAGTATCACTTCCGTACAGTTAATTTGGTTTTATTTTGATTTGCGTTGTGGTTTGAAGTTTTGAAGGAGGCCATCTTTGCAATCACCTATCAAAGGTCCTTGGCTCGCAGAATCGTTTGTCTGGTGAAAAACCAGTGTCTATAACACATAAATCATCAAATGGCTTTAAAAAGAATTAACAAGGTACGTTGCTACTTGTAGTGTGAAATGTGGTGTTAAATTAATCGAAATTTCGTTCGGAATTCGCGTTTCTCCTTATTTAAACGCCCTTAATGATTTGTGACAGAGAAGTGTGAGAACATCGGAATTTTGGTTATTTCTCCATTTTTCTAGTATTTTTATTAGGGGTCGCGATGTTTTACGTGTCGTCTCATGCATTTAATCGCTTTGGCATTTAGTAAGAAGTAGATTAGGACAGCTGTTAGCTTGTTCATTTTTGCTTTTATGTAGGAAGATTAGGTATAATGGAAATAGTGCCGGAAAAAGCGTAATTAGTGATACATTCAATTCGTCATTTGATTGTTAATGCTTAAAATGCGGGAAAATTCAGGTAGGGTGTTATTTTTAAGGCCAGGGTCAATCACATTTTTAACTAACCTCACCATATTAGGCACTTAATAGCTGGCTTGTTTCTACCATTGTGATATTATTTTTACTACATCCACTTCTGTTTCAGGAATTACAAGACCTCGGCAGAGACCCTCCAGCACAATGTTCGGCAGGACCAGTCGGAGACGATCGTAAGTAATTCCTAATTATCCACGCCACCAAATTGACCTTTTTTTTTATTTTTCTTGCAGTATTTCATTGGCAAGCCACAATAATGGGACCAGTAAGTAATTTTTTACTTCGAATCTTTTTTGCAATATTCCGATATTACCTACAATGTGATTTTCGTTTTTCAGCCTGACAGTCCATACCAAGGCGGAGTATTTTTTTTAACAATTCACTTTCCCACAGACTATCCGTTTAAACCACCTAAAGTGGCATTTACTACTAGAATTTATCATCCAAATATAAACAGTAATGGTAGTATTTGTCTCGATATTTTACGTTCACAGTGGTCACCAGCACTGACTATTTCAAAAGGTATGTCGCTTTTTTTACATTTATGAAACTATTACTTCTGATTTACTAGTGACTGAATGGTTATGCATTTGAAATTTTTTTGAAAAATAAATGGTGCAACCATTCTGTTTCATAAGGAATGCATAACCTCGGCCATTACTGACCTATGTCCGTCTAAGAAGTGCTTAGTTTTTCTTTATTGTTATCTTATTTTTATGGTGGTAGGGTAAGATGATTGTGTTTAACACTTTGACATAATTTTTTTAGTTATTTAGTTTTTTTAGCACATCTTATTTCCATAAAGATTTGATAATTCTTGTAGTAGGTAGTTACTTATTACTAACTATATTATTCAATTTATTTATTGTACCTCACTTACTACACTATCTTGTGGGTAAGTTGTACCCAGGCCAAATTAGTAACTACATTAATTAAAGATGTTAGTGTAGTTTTATTTTTGCTGACTTGCATTAAAACTGAAAATATCATTAAAAGCAGGAACAGTGTGTGCAACAAGTAAAGGTCAATACAGACTACTCTGATGTCAAGTCTAACACAGTGGGACCACGTCAGTCATGAAGCGGTGTGCACATTGGCCTAACGTACAGCACATGAAACAAAAACTTAGTGTGCATTGCATTTCTTGACTTTTTGCTTTGAACCTTCAGCCATAAATGAGCTCCATCATTTTGACATGCTGGAAGAAGAAGAGGCTATTCTGTGTGCATCCATTTACTCTTCTAGAGGATGGGTGTATCCCTCGGTGTATCCTATCAATATGGAGCGGGGCACATTCGAAGAGTTTTAAGCTTTAATGCTTTTTTTTGTTTTGATATTCGCGGTTTGTAGGGTCTACAACACCAAATTTGAGTGCAGATGCCCTATTAAGATCTCTTTCATTTCAAAAAATCACTAAACGCATTCCCACAACTGAAGCAAAAATCTAGAACTTATGATATTCTTTGTACCTGTCATAAGGCGTGTTGCATCAGATTGCATCATCCAATGTGTTCCCACGTTACGTTAGCGCAATATAAACGTACACGCTCAAAACCCTCTCCTGCATTTTTGTATGACGTGGCCCCATGTGTTTGCACGTCACATCGGAGTAGTATGAGTATATGGTACATGATAGTAGATATGCAACTAATTTTAAAGCATTCGGGGGTCCACAAAGGCAGTAAGGGTCAAAATATTGGGCAAGATCAGGCAGTACTGCAGCAGAACTAAAGCAGTATTACGACAGAACAATATGTTGAGCAGCATAACACAAGCACTTATGTCATTTGTATGTGCTTGTGTATTTTGACAGAGTAAATAAACCAAGTACATCGAACTAATATGCTGAGTTAATACGCCGTTCTCTAGAATGTAGTCTCGGAAGTTGGTACTCACGAAGGGAAAGTGATGGGTCGCTCTGAGACACATCTAATGGTAGCATGTTTTATCTATATGTTTCACTAGCACCAAGAATATAATGATATTTTTAAGTGGGCGGAGTTTCAGTCAAAGTTGTTCTCCCAACCCAACCCACTATACATTTACAAATACTTGAATATTTGACCGGGGTACTGCCAGATTAGTGAAAATTTCGGATTACTGGGAGGTCATCAATAAAACCTCTTAAAATGCACAAAACAAGTATTGCATTGTACCAAAACAACTAATAAATGGTATTTTAGCATAAAAAATAACACATTCACATATTACCTCTAAGAAATAATATCTTTATAGTACAGTGTCAAACTAATCACTGGAAACTAACACACTGTAATTGAGCAATCATAGTTCTTTGTTTTAATGGTTTTAATAACGTGTTTCAACTTCAAACCCCCACCACGTCCCTCAAAATACCGCGGATTGCTGAAGTACCAAACTGGCGCGGTGCCGAATTATAGGGGCTTTACTGTATCCATGCCCGAACTTAACCTTGGCTTAAAATTGTTTGGATTGATCTCTTAGTCACTTTTGCACCTGATTTTTGACCTCTTCATTGGATTGAAAATGTTTCCCTTGTCCCTTTTTACGGGGTATATAAGTTGTACAGGGTCCTGCAACTGTGTCAGTCCTAGCTCATACCTGGTAAAAATCCTCTTGTGCAAACGTCAAATATAGGTGGTTGCACATCTATAGATTTAAATTATTTTTTAATGTACAGGGTATCCCATTTTTACAGTTACAAGATTTAGTGATACAAAGTGTTCACAATGAAATGGTAAAATTTTATGAATTTTAAAATGCCATAGCTATTTTTTTTGCAAAGGAAACTACCATTATTATATTTCGCTATTTGATAGTCTTTTGTGTTCGCAATTTTGATAAGGGACGTCCTGTGTCTAAATCTTGTAGTTTTTAGGTTATTCAATGTTTTTCACAAAAGTACCTACCTACTAATTAATTACATGTTTATACATCAGAGTAGATTGTGATAAAAAAAAACAAAAGTGCTCTAAAATAAACAAGTGTCAAAAATTAATTATTTACTGCAAGCATTGAATAAAAACACTATAAGAAGCCTAACGCTTATGGAAGAAAACGCGACAAATCTCACAAATCCCCTTGCACCCGCATTGGTTGTGACCACCGAACTCTCTTTGCGGTAAATAGGAGGAAAGCAAATTCTCATTCTTCTCAGTTCTCGACTCTATTGACAGTGTTCCCATTATATTCTCAGTTCAAACTCTGTCGCGCTTTATTTCCACGGGGTTAGGCTTCTTATAGTGTTTTTATTCAATGCTGCAAGTGTTTTTAGTTTTTTCTCAATCCAACTCGAATTCCCAAGACTCCACTGTACAGGGTGGTTAAATTTCGTGCTCACCATTGTGGAAACGGTGAGAAATACAGTGTAGGTTAAATGAGGGCTAAGTTGCCGCTTGTTGTGATTGAAAAGCCTCATTTGAAATTGTTGAAAAATCTTTGAGCTGAGACATTAACAAAAATTAAAAATGTTGAATTTTGTTTTTTTGGTGGTATCTGTTATTTTTCAAAAATGCAACTGAAACAAAAAAGGGGCAACTTTGATCCCATTTAACCTACATTAAAATATGCTCATAAAAAGAAAATATGTATTCACTAAAGGGGTAACAATTTTTTACCACAAGCTACGAAACCACAAGTGCTTTTATGTCCTCGTGTATAGGTTTCAAATTATTCACATCCGTTCTTTGTTTCCAAGCACAACTTTGTCAAAATGTTACATTTAGGCTGCGTTCAGACACGGCGATAATCGTGCGATTCTCACGCGATTGTCTCTGAAGGATTTCGTACATTTTCATGTAAATAAGATCCTTGTGAGAATCGCGCGATTATCGCCATGTGTGAACGTAGCCTTAGGGCGGGTTTATGCAACTTCTTCATGCTTAATTCTGTTTTTTTAATCAGTTATGCATAGACCTTAACTCTTAAGTAATTTCCCAACACTAATTTATACAATTTTTTAAGTCTTTATTTTTAACACCAAATAACTGCCAATCAAATTGAGGGAATTGAGAGGTCAGCTGATATTACGAACAATTGCGCATGCGTCATGGTCAGATTTCTCAATTGTTAATTCTTAATGCTTAAAAGTTGAATGTTAGGAACTTTCATGGTTGCGCACTAAGAATTACGGTACGAATTACGAACTAAGAAATTGGAGAAACGCCATTATTAGACATTCTACATTTATCTTTTTATTTTATTAGAATTGCGAATTAAGATTTAACTATTATGGTGGGAAATAGCACTTGACTTATCATAAAACAGAAGAGACAATATCAGTTTTGTTTTATACGCCACTATCAATGACGACACGTTTTCCCCCACTCTTGTAACTTCCTTTATATCCATTTCGGTCTCGTGCCCTTTTAATGCAAGGTTCTTTCTTCATATATTTTACTCGTAGAATTACCAACTAGAATAGCACTGGCCACATTAAAACTTTGGACATCTCGTGTACTAAAAATGTGCTTTACTTTAAATGAGTGCTATTAGCGATTACTATCACGTAATTGCACTGATTGCACTTAATATCCTTGGAAGTCTCCAATTTGATTTATCCTTACTTGCGCTAGCACACTGGTTACATTTAAAATTCTTCTTACAAACTACATGTACTTTCCCAAACTGGATATGTGATTCATTGCATAATAAGCACTGACCACATTTTAAAACTTAGCAGCTGTACTTTTTCTACAGCTTCCACTTCAGAAAAATAATTTGATTAGGTCATAAGTTCTCGTTTATATATTTACTTAAAACATTATCTTTCTCAACACTGACTACAAAAAGTACATTACACACTGACAAAGTTGTACCCAAACAGCAAATTTAGTTAGTAATCACCTTCAGCATCAATGCGGGAAATTGGACTTGGCACTCTTGTTATATCCATATCTATTAAGATGCTAGCGGTCGTCGTCATTTGGCTAATCATTGTAGCTGTCACGTGAGTGGCTCGGGTTTAATTCTTGATCGATCCAGGATTATTTTATATATTATTTGACATTTCTACATTTCGCCAGACTAATGCTGATTGTCGACGTATCATGTGACATAGGTCCGTAGGGACTGGTACCTATCTATTATTAAATCTTATGAAATCTGAGAGTTAGCTCATTAGTATTTTAATTTGAAGATTCAGCTTTAAATCTACCAGCTTTGCCTTTGTGTAACCATCATTTGACTTCGCCAAGATGAACAAATATCTCCACAGTGAGGCGTAAAAAATGGGCGCTCCTGTATATGTATGTAATTCTATAAATCATTAATTAATGAATTGAATTTTTTTGCGCTTGTGTAACGAATTCTAATCGCGATTTAAATTATCTCAACCCAGCAGAAAGGCAAAGAAGATGAAAAGTGTGACTGAAATTACACATATCTTATTTTTACACCCTTCAATTTAATGAAAACCAACAAGCATAAAGAAATTTACACACACACAATCCTATTTAACAATAACTTACGTAAACATTGTATTTGAACAAGTGCATGACGTGCGTCGATCATTTCGTACTTTCTTTTTACATTCAATTCTCGATTAAATTCAATTGCGCTCTCATGGATGGATGCTATTGTGTTACAGAATGTCCAAAGCAGCTTTTGTCCTTATTCCATTGTGTTTCTGTTTTGTGCATTTAGTTATTTGTTTGGTGGAAACTGGTGCATAAAATTTATTTTTTGAATTGGCTGATTGGGAATGATAATAATGATATAATTAAGAAAATATACAATGACATAAATTTCTGTTACATGATTTGAATATTATAGAAATTACCTTATTAGACAAAATTCTTATAAAGTTTTCATTGGTACTGTTTTTGCAGTCTCTGTTAGGGTTGAGATAGCTTCTGACAAATATAAAAGCCATATTCATATGTACACATAAATAAATTTAGATACCTATAAACTCTTTTTCCTGTTGAAATACTTCAGACCTGTACGATAAATTATGAAATCAAAACGTTGCACTTGCTGAGTCATGAAAAAGGAAAAACTTTATATTCCCCCAGTTCCAGGGTTTTTCTTAACATCCTGTATGACTGTATGATTCCGTAGTCTTATGTGGAACTGATGCTTGAAGTTTTCATGGTAGAATAAATGTAGGGCGATTTTGGGAAAGGAATACATGTTTATGCTTATCTCACATTAGAGATTAGATTACTACATCTATTTTTATTTATTTCCTTTCTTACAGTAGACAACTAAAAAAATTGCTATACGTCGACTGTTAAACTATTACTACATGGGAAATGGGAGTGCCTGTTATCGTTCTAAGTTTTATAACTGCATGAGATGTAGTCCTTAAGTTGTTCAAGAATGTTAGATCTTCAAAAATAATCCTGAGGAAATTTATAAAATTTTTCTAGATTCGTAGACGGGAAATAAGGCAAAATAACAGTGGAATATCCAGGAAATCTTTAAAGGATCTATTTTTTTTTACTAAGAGTTTGATACACCTTTCAAAATGGATTTTTAAGAGGATTCTTTAAAAAGTCATTTCAGCATTTGGTGGAAGTGTCCCACCCCCCAAATAATACAATGGAATGTGAACAGTGTCAGTATTCTGCATAGACTGCTTGATAATGCCTATAAAAACTACACTCTCCACTGAATGCCATAGTCAATAACTCATCACTAAGACAAACATTGTGAATGCGTAATTAGTACATATTTGCTATTAATAAGTTATATAATTGAAATTTTAAATGTAGGTGATGTTCCACTAATAGAAATGAAACGAAAGAAAAATGTGACTTTTGCACTTTGTATAGCTATTTGTGTATTAAGAGCTCAAAATGATATATTGTCGATTGAAAGAGACAATCAATTTGCGCTCGATTTACACACAAGATTTTTTCTACAATCGAGCAGTTCACATATTTCCAAAAATTTACATCTTTCATTCAAATGAAAGGTGTCATTTACTCGTTGTCATTGGATACTATGAGCACAGCCGTCTATAATTACAAGCCATGCTGAGAAGTTTGGCAACGTTGTTCGAAAGTCAATCGGTGGGCCGATGTAAATTTTAATGGCGTCTTGTTGCTCTTGCAAAATTGCATTTTTCCTCTCTCCTGTGTTTCGCCTTGGCGGTTTTAATGTAGAAGAAAGATACTTAGGCAGCTTACAATTGTGCATATATATTATTTATTTACAAAAATGGATAATAACATTTTTTGACTTTAAAATTCGGAACGCTGTAAATTGGTAACTGCATCATAATGTGTTTTCCATCGAGATCTCCGAAATTGGTGAACTTCTGTCGAAAGAGGTGGAGGTGAAGCACACGCTTGAGCACTTAATTTCGGCAAAAGGATAGTAAATCGCTGTGCATCAGCCAGGTTTTATCAACCACCAGGTGTGATTCAGAATGGCAGATTTTAAGCCCGTCGCTATTCCAGTGGGTCTAGGTACGAAGCTTTTAAAGAGGGGAGCCCCGTAGACTTCAAATTCCCGTACCATGAACTCTTGGGAATAAGTTGAAAGGTTCCTTCAGAAAATCGATTTGACATGTCCGTGCTAGAATACCTGAAATACAAAGTAATTGCATGTTTTCACGATAAACACTTACCGTCCTTACGTACCACGTAGTGTGTAGGTCATATTTGAGCTTGTACAGGTACTTTGAACAAATACAAGTGCTTGTAAAGGGTCCAGTAACAAGTAGCCTGCTTTAGAGGTTAAGACAACAAATCCAATTTCGTTTAGCAACTTACCTGAATAATAATTTCTGTTCATTCCATACGGAGTAACACAAATTGTCGCATTCTCGCTCTGTAAAGGTGGGTTCATAGCTCTCCGTTCATCCGTTGCGTTGGTCTGTCAAACGGATAATGCATTTTATTAAGGTTCATAGCAATCCGTCCACATTGTACATTTGCAACGTATAACCATAACCTAAATTTTATTTTGTACTGTACCCTCCGTGATTTTCAGTATGTAAAAATGGTACGAAAGTAAGAGCACATTGCTATCTGATTATTACCGTGAAGAACGAATAGGCGAACACTGTTAACGTACCAAACCTAACCTCACTCTTGTTAAAAACGGAACAACGGAAACGTAAATGTTCAACTTCAACCAACTTTTCCGTCGTAAACGGACGACGTACGATTTAAAAATTTGCTGTCTTCTGATTGGCTAACGGACAAACGGAAACGTAAGAACGGAGAGCTATGAACCCACCTTTAAAACAGGTAAATAGGAATATTACACCCAAAACACGTATAAAATACACCTGAAATCTGTCAAGTTGAATTAGGAAATCGGTCTACCATGCAGTGTTGCCATAATTCTCAGCACGGCTTGTAATTATAGACGGCTGTGCTATGAGCAATGCATATTTGATATAGTTAATAATTGGGAGAGCGAGCGTTTTTTTTATTTTGTGGCTTATAAGTGACATTCCTCGAAAAAGATGACGTTTGCGTTGTCAAATACGAGCGCAAATGTTTACTTTGGATATTGATTGTACATTGCGATAAAAAATGAGTGACCGTCGAGTCACCTTTGGAATTTTTGTTTACATGGGAAATCGTACTTAACTTCAACTTTCAAAGGCGACTCGACAGTCACTCATTTTTGATCGCCCGATAGAAAAAATGCTTTGTAGATTTTAATATTTATTTTTGTTTTCTTTTTCAGTACTGCTATCAATCTGTTCACTATTGTGTGATCCAAATCCAGATGATCCACTTGTCCCAGAAATTGCTAGGATATATAAAACTGATCGGGAAAAGTACAACGAGCTCGCACGTGAGTGGACCCGCAAATATGCTATGTGATGACCCGGCCCTCATCAATTACTCCACACTTAGAAATGAAAACTATTTAATTCAACAACACGTGGAAGGGAAGCTGCCAAGCAGCACTAGTGTTTATTTCCAACTGTGTATATTTACTTTCAAACTGTTTCCTTCCTCCTCACCTTCTACCACAATATGCTTGGTGGTTTTTTAAATGTTCAATTTATATCAAATTGTAATTAAGAAGTTTCATGATTTCGTCTCTATTATTTAATATATTGTGGTTGTAAGGACCAGTGTTGAATTTCGTTTTTTTTTCCCACTTGCACTTGACACGGAACTATTTGGAGCGTAGAAGTCGCTTGCTAATTATCTACTAGTTGTTCTAAGTGTGTAAGCGTCTCTCTGCTCCGTCCATCAGCGGGTCCCGGACTTTCAATGGCATTGTGTGTTCGACACACTCATGTACTAATTGTAATTGTTAGATAAATTTGTAGGTTTTGTGGTTCAGCTAGGTGTAATATAATTAATAAATAATTTCAATATTTCTCTTTCAACACTTTTTGTTAATATTGATGTCTGAAATTTTGGATCTCAAATGAATCTTGTAAGTTTCGTAAGCGAGGAAGTTTGAATAGCAGCTGGTTGACCACCATCTAGTTATGTTAAAAGGGGTTTTCTTCAAGTGTGGCAAGTAAGTATTTCTAAAAATTTGGTGGTGTAGTAAGTTCAATTTAATTGTGGACAATATATAATCTAATATCTGAAAATGTACATTGAGTAGTTCAATTTAATTCAAGTTGATAGTATGTAAGACTTAGGAAATAATTGGAAAACGTTTTTGGGGTTGCGAGATCGTATTATAGGTTTATTTTGGGAAACATTTTGATGTGAGTCTGAACAATTTTGTGATTGTAAATGGTCCATTCAGAAACATTTTTGTCTATGCGTAAAAATATTTCTCAAAATAAATTTTGTCATTGTTCATATATTTAATTTAATGTTTTGTTGCTTTATTTATCTACAGTGTTAGCAAAACGGCTTGTCAAAAATGTTTTATATAGTTTGATTTTTTTTTTAATAAAACCACATTTAAGGATACTTTTACTTCATACAAATCTGCTGGTGCTAATTTCGTTAGGGTCGAAGGGTAGGAAAATATAAGTAAATTGGAGTATTAAGAATGCAAAATGCTGGAATATTGTAAATAGTTAAGATTCAAAGTTTTATTCTGGCATGCTTTTGTACAGCGTAGGTGGTCGGTCAAATCTACTAAATTATGTTAAAGCAATTGAACTGTCTTCGCTTATGGAAACGACTTTTTTAATGTGTACAAAATAGACCCATGTGACGCTTATTTAAATTAGTTAATGAAACACTGTTGCGTTATCTCATTGCCTGTACCGTTTTAAACATGTAAAACACTTTTATACATAAATATAATATGGAAAATATGTAGAAACTATATTAAAATTATTAGTTCCTGAGTAGAAAGTGGGGACCTGCTACACGTGGCCGTTTTATATCTTTTAATTAAATGCTCTAATCTGTATTCTATGTCAACTTCACAGCATTTTGCATTAGAAATTTTAGGAGAAAAAAGTTGAAAAAAATGTGTCATCTTTTTTTTAAATTCCGTAACTATTTATTTTTGGCTGTGTAGGGTAGAAACAATCTAAATTTTATTTGGGTGTGCTTGAAAGACAAAGCAAAAATAATACTAGCAAATCTACTTAAAATAGATAAACAAAATGTACCTTAGTCTAAAGGCGAGTCCCGTTAAAGTTACTGCCTTCAATATTAAGGAGCAGATTTTTATTGTGAATTCGAGGATTTTTAGACAAACATCTTTCATGTTTTGTAGAAGTATTTTATTAATATTATATACAATGGTAGTGGTAGAAGTAAAATTTCTGTTGTTTGTGGTTTCACAAAGATCATATCGCCCCGTATAAAAAGACTACTTTTTATTAAAATTTTTCAGTTCTTGCGAATTGTAAAAACTAGCAGAAAAATGTTAAAGAGTAAGAGTAGTTTGGTATTTTAAAAGGTTTTGTCTAGAACTGCTGCATTTATATACAGAACAATAAGTTCTTGGCATTGTTTTTGGGTAACCGAATGAAAACTGTGTTAAAGCTCTACTAAAGGGGTTTGCTACCTGCTTCTGTCTTTGGTGCAATGGTTTGATTCTCTGTTCATTGTTTCTTCCTCAAATGGCTAGGTTTATCGTTGAAACGAAAATTTCTGTAACCCAATAATGACCAATCTGCAGAGTGGTTTCATATCTCATACAGGTTGAAATGGGAAGCTGAAAACATAAATCGTATTTTTCCATTTAATTTAGTGTTTATGTTCTACTGATAAACTTCTCACATAGTAGTAATCAAAGTTTGTCCTTTAAGTAAAACGTAGAAGACGAGTAGTGCTGGTTACCAAACATTGTTGAACAACATTGACGCTGTGTATACCGTTTGTCCCAGGTTGAACGCCCTATATGCAAACAGAATTTTCAGTATTTTTTTGTAAATGATCTACGAAGCCTTAGTGATTTAAATCACATACCTACACATTTTGAGTGTGTAGCCACTAAGGCGATTTGATGAGAGACTTGAAAGTGAGGTAAAACATCGCCCACCAATACAAATTTGCCATGTCTTGTTTTTTTTTAATTTTTTGGTTAGCAGGGGATGCAAATTTTCTTAAACCCACATTTTTTTCTCATTTGAACATTCCCTTCAAGCTTGCTGGATTGTGGAGGAGATCCTGTTTTAGTAGTTTTTTTTTTATTGGGTTGTGATGGAATTTGTATAAACGGTTTCAGGCTTTGTATAATAACGAATGACTTAAAAAGTCAAAAATGCTTATTGATGATCTAAGAGGTACTTAATAATAATAGTTTTAAGATTAAGACCAAACTATTGAAGAAGTTATAATCAGATTAAATTATTTTCTTTATCTACTCGATTTACCCATGATACAATTTTTTGTATCATGTGATTTACCCTGCACAGTCCAAGAGAACCTGCGTACCATAGTAAATGGGTTAGGTTTTCTATGCTACGTACTAAAAGGGCTATTTTTAAGCTCGGACAGATTATAATATGAGAAACACTGTTGCGGTTTATGCTGATAGGTGGTGAAATAGTAGAATATCCCAATAAGTCTTACCATTGAATTTTATAATAGTTATAAATTCAATGGTCTTACCATTGGCACAGATTAAATACAATCTGTCTGGTCTTACGAATAGCGCCGCCGGAAGGGTTAGGCAACTTAGGCCTCGCGCCGGTGTCGGAAATGTTAGTGTGTAGGACGTGTAGGTGTAATATACCCATAAAGCTAGAGGAATTGTTTTTGTATGTTGTACCCAATTGCCAAATTCTATCAATAGCCGAAATGTTCACCTACAACGTGCTATGGACCTGTAAGATATTCTTACATACGAATTGACCATATTGGTTCACATTTGATTACACGAACAAACATAATAACATATGTCCTCAATAGAAAATCTCTTGCAATTCCACCGAAGGAAACCTTGACTTCACCCTTTTACTGATAGTCCTAGCCCTACAAGTGGGAAAATGCGCGTTTGATAAATAAAGCAAACCACTTTGCATGATTATATGTATATTGGACTAAAAGAAAAGTTTTTAGAAGGGGCGCCATTCGCCCCTCTGGAGGGGAGGCTAGCACTGGGTAATATTTTACACAAATAGATGTCCAGTCAAAAAGGAATACAATGCTTCTTGTCTTAAAAAATATGACTCCCCTTCCTCCCACTCTCTCTCTCATTGTAGCTATAGAGGCAGTCTGGGAGTTAAAATTCGAACAAGGTATACTTATGTACTCAAAGGTATACATTTTGAAAAATACGTATCTTGTGCAAAATTAGATGCCGATTCTGAATCAAGAGGGCGCGATATGGTAGCAGGAATTGCAAATTCGTTAGTATTGAAGATAGAGATACATATACGAGGCAAAATATGTACAATTAAACAAGGTAGTTTTTTTTATTAACATATTTTTTCAATCAAACAAACAGTTTGAGAAATATAAATATCTAATAGGTTAAACATGTATAAAAATGTAACGGGAGCGCGTCAGAATAGCAATACTATACTGATACCTGCTTAAACACGTACCCTGTCGATTTGAAACAAATTAGGTACGCATATTCTTAGACATAGGTAAAATAAAAAGCTACGTCCCGTGCTGAAACGCGCACTTAAAGTTTTCACTCCATCAGTCGTGTCTCCGAAGGGACTTCCCCCATCGGTGTGACCTCCAGTCCCGTGCTCCGCAATTCGACGAAGTTTAAAGTTTTGACTCCATCAACAGTCAGATCTCGTCGGAGGTTGCCACATTCCCTTTGTCGGTGTCGACCTCCGACGTCCCGTGCACCCGCAATTCGCGTTTGAAGTTTTGACTCCACCAACAGTAAGATCTTGTCGGGGGCAACCACATTCCCACTTCTGATGACATCACTAATTTCAAAAACGCTGCTCTCGTTACCTTTTAGAAATATTGTACGGTAGACTCGATTTCATTGGCAGTTTGAACTGTTTGCGAACTCATTTATTTCACAGTTGCAAAGCAGATATCAGAAACTCATTACCACCAAAGAGTATACTCTTTGTTACCACCCAGGGAAGATTCTTTCCATAACCATTTATTAAGAGCAGTATTTAGTTGCTTGTTTGTAAAACGGCGAGTGTTGTTCATCCTGTGCCTTCTTCCATGTATTATTAGTTGTCATTGTGAAAACATTCCATAAATTTCGATAGACATCGAGGCACCATGAAAGATTAGTCATCAGCGACACAGAAAGAAGGCAGATGTGACGTAATCTTTCCTAGAAGTATGACGTGTTTGTTCGAGAACATTTTGAAGCGTCTTTCACTACCTACACGAGAATATTCTAGAAAGAATTTTAATTAATTAATTAATTTTAAGACTGTTGTTGATTATTTTTAAATAAATAAACGCCGTAATTAAATTCTGTCCAAAAGCTTTACAGATCTTTATTTTAAGTTTGTCTAAGAATATGCGTACCAAATTTGTTTCAAATTGATTCAACCGTTTAGTCGGAAATGAGAGACATACATCAGAGACCGACAGATAGACTGATATGATCGAAATTTTGTGTAGACCGGGTAGATCGTAGACGAATTTATGCGACAGGGTACTATCAGTAGCTAGATCAGTAGTGTTGCTATTCTGACACGCGCCCGTTACATTTTTATTAATGTTTAACTTATTATATTAGTTAAACGATTTGTCAGATTGAAAAAATGTTTTAGTAAAAAAACTAGGTACCTTATTCATTCTAATACATATTTTATTTTGTCTCGTATATGTATCTCTATCTCCAATAATAACGAAAACACCTCGTGACTGAAACTTTTATTTTGTGCTGCTTAATTGGCAAATGACACTACATATTTAGTTTTAGCCAGAGACATGGAGCCATGTCTCTGGTTTTAGCAAAGAGTATAACTCTTTGGTTTGAGTAACTATGCGGCAAGATATGTCTCTATATATCT